GCGCGGAGTGGTTTGGGAAGGGGAAGCGGAGGGGTCTGGGCGAGAGTGTTCCGAGAGAGTTGATAGTGAGAGTGTTAGGGATTTTCTGTTGGTTGCTGTGATTAGAATTTTGACTTGTAAAAGGGAAGTAATAGCCAAGTCGCACGAGAAGGCGATCTGTTTCTCGGTGTGCTGTTGACTTGTATTGGCGACGGTTTGAGGGGAAGGGATAACAGTGCGCATTTCTGCTCAATTATCATAAAAATTTTCCCCACCGCCAATAGGCAGATAAAGATAGATATGTGACGAGAAACTCATAACCGTAAAACTAAGAACAACCTACATTTTCCGTACAAGCTCCTGCTGAGTTTCTGCTCCGAGGTATCCGTGGACGGCGGACTGGATCTCGAATAAGTGCTGTATAACATCTTTAATGTCCTCTAGAAAAGCATCAATTAGTGGCATCCACAGTTAGGATAGATAGAAATGGTAGTTAATATTTCTGAAGCGAGATTGCGATTGGAGAAAAGATATAGCATTGATCTGGCACATACTATCGATGCCGTTCAAAGTTACCGGCGCCATTCGCCAAGGACACAGCAGGCTAACTTATTCGTTAGCTAGACAAGTGGGCAATATTAATATGGCCTGTAAGCCATCTCAGGGCCTGTTCAATGGTAGGTTGCAGTCCAGACTTCATGAAGTCGTCGTTCGCGTAAAGGAACTTGAATATTCGGCATGGATCAACGTGTAGCGGACACTAGTCCATATGAAGTTAGCGCGCGAAAGCCCTCAACTTTAAACCTTAATGAATTCGGCCCGATGCCGCTAAATCATTGTAACTAAATCGAAGTACTAGATATATGACTTGGAACAAATACTATTTCCAAGGTTACTCTCAAGAAGTTTGCGATGGGATTTCCCCACGTTTGCATCTTTCCTAGCCAAAGATTCTATGATAATGTGTCCGAGTTTCCCCCGGATTTGCATGACTGGATTGGAGGCTCCGGGTAAAATGATCACGAAAAAGGCTCCCAAAGGATCCTAAGGGAATTGGCATAAATAAAACCCGAAGCTGATTAAAGGAGAGAGGTCTGGAAATGTTATCCTTAGACCCCGTAGGTCCTTAGACCCCGTAGGAAGTGCAAGTGCAAATTCGTCGCCGGGTTCACATGCGGACACATCCATGGGAGGGAGTTAAGAGGCTATTCTGTCCCTGGTTGTGGAGGCGACAAAATGTCGAGAATTGGGGAATTGGCATGGGAATGGTAAATAATCCTATACGCAGTCACTCTGTATCATCGAGCGCAACGGCTATTTTGATATTACCATTCGCAGCGGAATTGTTAAAAGTTAGCTAACATCCACATTACCATTCGTCGCCCTATGTACTTCTATATCACTATCCATATCCTTGAAATAATCCGAGTCCCTGCCCGGCAGCGGAATGCAGTCGGAAAAGGACAATATAAAATAAAGGAAAACGATAGCCTATAACCAATGCCAAATATCCATCGAACCAAATAATGTTTGCAGGTAAGCAAATATATACACTCAATACTGCATCATGAGAGATATATCCTAGACAAGTAATGGGGAAGAAAAGAGAACGAGAAACAAGTAAATGCATATTGAAACAAATGCAGCAAGTGATTAGGGGGGAAAGAGGGGTGAAGAGGGAAGCTAAACGGGAAAATATAAGCAACTGAAAAGGGACGGGGAAAGATGGGAGGCGCAGGCTAAAATGATATTTATGATTCTTCCATCTATCAAAAGACCAAGACTATAAATATGACAACAAGGAGGAAACTTCGTAGACTGACTGTCATAGTGTCGCATGTGCAGGACGCATGGAACAAGAAAGGGAAACGGATATTTTAAAAGTTAATCCAATTAGAGCTGAACTTCACACCTCTTTTGTTCTCATGGGTGTTACTCGGGGTAAACCAATCTCGGTCTCCACCATTTCTATTCCTGATAGACTTGGATGTCGCTTGCTGAAATTCGCCTCCCAATCGCCATTTATCTCCCTTGGCTTAGTGTCTATAGACGATGTGCGCGCACTAGCAGGGGCAACTGTTGGATTATCAGATCGGTTGCCAGTCCGCAGATTCTGTGGTTTTGGAGGCGCTGCGGGTTTTCGATCGGCGGGATTGCGGGGTATGAACTGTTCCGATGACGTTGGCTGCCGCGGTCTAGCAGTGGCAGGGGCTACAGAGAGTGAGTCCTTCGATGGCAGTCGGGGAGGCTGTCCAGGGAATTGTGTTGATGGAGCAGTTTTCCGAGGAACGTTTGATGGCACTGGCCGCGATGGTAGTGGTTGTTCAAACTGCTTCGCCTGCAAAGCAGTGTCCCTATCAGTGTACCGTCCATAACCTGAGGCCGTTTTGGCTATTTGGGGTTTATCATTTTCTTTGAGGAGTGACTGGACCTTGCTCTGAATTATTGCTGATCTTCTTCGATCACTCCTACCGTCGGCTCGTCCTCCCTCCTCTCCTCGTTCAGCTAAACGCTGGCGATATTCAGCTGCAGCATTTGCCACTCGCTTCTCCTCCTGAGAAAGTCGTCGTCGCTCCAGCTCACGACGCGCTTCAGGAGAAATATCGTCTTGGTTAAATCCATTCCCATCATCGCTCATCTCTGTAATTTCTGAGCCCGTTATTGGGGTGAGGCGCGCATTCACATTACCAGGGGAAGGACTTCGGCTTGTCCGATCTTGAGTTGCATTATGCTCGAAACGACGGAAGGCATCGCCGAATCGGCCGGCAAGGAGATTCTTGGTACCAGATAAAGATATTGAAGATAAACTTGACCGCTTGACATGTTTTGATCCACTACTTGCGCGTTTCTCTCGTTTTCGGTTCAACTCTTCCTCTTCCTTAGCACGCAGGAAGTCAATATCAGACGATATATTTGCTCGCTCAAAATCACGGTCCATCTCTGACCGTGGGTGATGTAATAGTTCACCACCTTCATATCCACTCTGAAGGAAACTAGAATCGAAAGAAGCTTTTGGGCTCTCGGGATCGCGAAGATATTCGGGTTTCGACCTGACATAAGTGCTGGCAGGTCGGAATTTCGAGTTTACAGATTTGGAGCGGATGGTAGAATCAGTAATATCAAGCGCAGAAGGTCGAGATCCCTCCAATGAAGGTCGAGAAGAAGCAGGAGACTTTGGAAAGCCTTCGAAAGAACCTTTGTGTTCGGATTCGCGTTTAAAAAAACCCGTGCGTGAAGTATATCCATCACGGAGCCGGTGTGGTTTTTCATTGTTATCCTCCCACTTTTGGCCATAAGGTCTCTTTTCGTACGAGGTATTTGGAAATCGATACTTTGGTTTTGGTGAAAAAGGCGGGCTCTCTGATGGGCGTGGGCGTGGGGAAGGAGAAGTCATCGTGCCAGTGGACACCATAGCCGGCCTTTGAGGAACGGGTTGGTGTAGCGTGGTGGTCTCTTGCCGGGTGATATCAGAGACCAACTCAAGCGATGGTTTTAGAAGTTTCTCTTGTGCAGAATTGTCGACATGGTGTCTGGATTGTGAGCCTATTGCGGGGCCCTTATGGGTAGCAGGGGCTGAGTTGGCTTTGGCAAAAACCTCATCCGCGAGAGCATGAGTAATTCGCTTTGAAAGATCCTCCGTGGCAGGTTTGGTCTCTGATACAATTGGCTCGAATTCAAATTTGGTTCCTTGGTCGTGGAAGAGCGAAAATTCGTCAAGGGTTGGAAACCTGGACGAGAGTTCATCTCCGTTGGGTGGTTTGATTCCATCAAGGGCAGCAAAGGGGTCGCTTGAGGAGGCCCTTAGAGGCGAAGGGCTCGGTTTAGATGAATTGTGATGGGAGGCAGGCTTCGTTGGCCTTCCCCTCCTCATGGGGGCAATGTCAGGAATAATCTGTGTCTCCTGCATTGGTGGGGAAAATACGGCCCCTATCTTGGGAGTTTCCGTTGGAGACGGTGGCAACTGTTGGTAGCGTCTTGCCTCAGATTGTGATCGTCCAGAATAAATCTGGGGACGTTAGTAAAATGCGATTTCATCAATAAACACTCAAGCAAATGCGTTACCTACGTCTTTGATTGGTACCTCTTTGCCCTGCATGAGACAAGCCTCGCGCAACACTAGATAAATATTGGGTCTTTCTCGAGGGTCTTCTCGTAACATAGAGGCTATGGAAGAGATCGTTAGAAAATCAGGACCACAGGTTATTTCAAAAGGATCTTAGATATCATACCTATGAGCATCTTTAATCTGTCGGAAAAAGGCGGATATGTGGGGAATTTAAATTTGGCGTTAAGGATTGCCATTTGCCCAACCTCTTCGAAGGGTGTAATATAATAACAGAGCTTGTATAACAGGACACCCAGTGCCCATATGTCACTCTTCTCATCGATTGGCTGTTTTCGATAAACATCAATCATTTCTGGACTCCGATACTGCAAGGTGGTGTGGCGTTGGACATCATCCTCTATTAGCCTTCCCTCAGCAGCAGTCGACGCTGCGGGTCGTGGTGGCGCTGTTGAGCCAAAATCACACAATTTGTAGCAAAATGAATTCCCATTCAGGGCTATTAAGACGTTCTCGACTTTGAGATCTCTATGAAGTAGGGGTGGTTTCAGGTAGTGCATGCAGGCCGTCCCTTCGGCAACATCGGAGAAGATCTTCAAGATCTCCGGTTCGGTCAAGCGATTCTGCAACCGAGTGTTCATAAAATCAATCAAGCCACCTCCGGCGCAGAATTCCATGAGAAGAAACACCTCATACCCACCACCCTTTAACTGGGATGCGTGGGAGTCAATGTACTTCACAATATGCCGATGTCCCTTCAGTTTCTTCATTGTTTCGACTTCGGTCCGCATATTTGCCAAAGCTGCTTTATCCGGAACAGCAACTCTTTTCAGCACGGCGGTTTCAACGCCATCGATCGGCTGCGGGAGGCGGACGACATATACATGCGCAAACCCTCCCTCGGAGAGATATTTCTCGATCACAACACGGTGGTCTCCAACTTGAACCTTCGTCCCCGGGACGAAGGTTCCAGCTGGCGGTGCAGTCATTGCCATCACGAGTATTCGATTGGCCTATCCAGAACCAAGCGCAAAGCAGGTTACCAATGGGAAAGAAGGAAGATCGTAGGTTGTCCAAAACGCTTACGGGAGGATGAAGGAAACAAGGCGGTGAAGAATCAGGATGAGGACGCCCACGGAGGGGCAGCGAACGGAAAACTGCACAGAGAACTAGGGGAGCTGCATTGAAAAGAAAACAAGCAAGAAGAGAAGATGGAGCAAACAAGTCACCGTCGCTCCCTGGGACACGGACAGTGACTCGACGGAATGATGCAGCTCATGGATGGTTCGTTGATGTTGAGCAAACACGGGCCAATCAAAACAGCCCTACCCTCGGTGGAATATTGTGCCGGCTCCGTGACCCATCACCATTTCTCCACCTAGGCACATGTACCTTTTGGGCGAAAATAACACCAGACGGTACCTGGCAAGGATAACCAGGCAAATATTAAATTTTACTGTCTACGGAATTTACACAATCAACAGTTTAGCAGTGATGATGTGGATACTTGCTGGATTTACGG